AAGTAGTTCCCACAATGTTTATGTTATCCAAACAGTTTAATAGTTTTTTAGTGGTGGATCGATCCAGACAAATAAACTTACCTACACTTATATGCCACCAAAATTTATTGCTGACCGTTGGACTGCTGAAGGCGAAGAGGCGGTTGCTAAACATATTCAAGCCACTATGATCCCCTTGCAACATGTTCGCACTCTTCGCCGCCAGTTTGAACAGGATCGAAAGCGAATAATCTGCGAGCCTGTTTTCAAAGTATGCACACATTCGACGGGATTATAGCTGTTCTGATGTTTTCTCAATAATTTTATTTTTTCTATTCAGGTGAATGATAGAGTGGAATTGCTAGATTACAATAACTCTACTCGTGTGCGTCCAGCTCGTGTTAAGAAAGTGGTTGGGCGGCGAATTTGCGTTCATGTGAGAGACGACGATTTTGACGGTGAAGTGGAGGACGACGATCGCCAGGTCATGCTAAATCGTTTATTAAATTTCATTCTGTCCAATTCTTTTGAACATTTTCTGATTAACTGCATTTTAGTTTGGTGATGATGCCGAATTTTGGGTAGACCAGTCTAGTTTCTATCTCTTCCATGTTGGCTGGGCATGTTACAATAATTACGGTCTTGGCTCAACGAAGGAGTACAGGAGACATGCCCAACAGATCGCTGACGCGCTGACCAAGGTCATATTCCAAACACATCAACTAAACTTTTCTATAAATATATAATCATAAAATAATGTTCAGGGAGAAGACCCACCGTATGCTTCTGGCGATGTAACCCCGCAGAAGATCCGTTCCTGGACTGCCAACAAAGTAACCGTTTAGTCTTCACTTTTCAGAATGACTTTAGGCAATATTTTCAAGGATACTCCATTTGAGTGGAAGAAGGGAATGCGATTCGAACTTATGGATCCTTTAGCCCAGATGTTCAATGAGCTACGAGTTGCTAGTGTTCTGGAGGTGTTAAAGGTACAGTAAATTTATCGTCTTTTCATAGAAATTGCGAGTTTCTTGGGTCACTTGCAAACCACAAACAGTTTCAATACTTCACTAGTAAATTCTTCCAGGGTGGATATCTTCGCGTTGGGATGGATGG